GAAAGGGGGGGAGGAAGGAGGAAGACTGGTCTCTCAAATAGGTATTTTTAAGAATCTATTCTTCTATAAAGCTAGATATTTTTGATATGTCTGGCTTAAGCAGGGTACTGGGTGAAAGGGAAATTTAAGTTCAAGTGGCCAGGCCTTGAATATATTTGAGACTGAGATTAAAACTATATGGTTAAAATTTATTTCAAGTGGAATGCTTAACTTTATCATAAAGAGATCTAAAAACATGTAAAGAGATACAAGTTTGATATTCATGTGAAATGTGACCCCATAAAATGATTATATGGTTAAAGTGTAATAATTTTGTTATCTCAGTCACTTCACAGAGTTGTTAGTGTGCCATACTTTGCATCATTCCACAAGGGACCTAAACTGAATGCGTACGTTAACAATGCCATAGTGACGAGGCCAGATCGGGTAGAATCAGCTGTCCGTAGCTGATAACCTGGTGGTTTTAGTTTTCATCATTTTTTGGTAGTTACTACCAAGTATACCGCTATCGCTTTATTGCGCATTTTTTGGCTGCGAAATACATCTTTGATCATCGTTACTGCAGCTAAATTAAAATTTCTTCCTTCAGGAAAAGGACATGTTTTCAAAAAGCGTACAAAAGGTTATAGAAGAAAGCTGTTTCACAACCGAAATAACACTTTTCCCGAACTCGTTGTCGAAATGAAAAACTAATACAAATGATAATCAGTACCTTGGTGAACTTCTGAAATTGTTGATAGAGTGGGAGAAGGAGAGGTGGCCGGCGTCGGGGACGAAGATTGTGACACCGATGATGTTAGCGGAGTTGTGGTGCCTGGCGTTGATGTCATGTCGGTAAAAATACCTTTGACGTTATAATTTCCTGTGAACAACAAGTGATGGTATCGATATCAATCTCAGTTTTTCAGGAACGGCCCGTGGTTAGGAAAAGGTAAAAATTAATCTGTACTCGAGTCAAGTGACCCGGCCAGCCGTAGCTCATACCGGTTTCTATAGCACGAAGTGACTAGGAGTTTTATTACTCCCCCCTGGATAGGACGCCAGTCCATGTTCAAGTCACCCTCAGTACTTCATCAAGGCTTCCTGACAATTCGCCGTTCATACTCCAGGGTGAAAAGAGGCAAAATGAAAGTATGGTGTTTTCCTCAAGAACACAACACAATGAACCGGCCGAGTCTCTTTCTCGACCTGGTACCCAGCTCACTAACTCGTAGGCCACTGAGTCTCCTACTACAGGTTAGGAAACCCCAAAGCCATCTTAAGGCTCGACGAATGTGGTCTTTCGGTAATAAGAACCACATGTATCTTACATGTTGAGGGAGAAGGGGAGTTCTGGATGTAGGCGACGTCGATCCCTTGCACGGTCGCCCCAAGTTCCTTCGCCCCAAAACAAGTTTTGCCTCCCCGAAGTATGAGTTAAAAGTTGCATCACTCATAACTTTCGACCTGAATTAAATTAGGATTTTAAACGTATTTGACATAAGTTTTCAAGCTTAAATTTTTTATGTCCCGGGTAAATTCTTCAACCAGCGATCGCAATGCTGTGACTGCTTAGTAACCAGCGAAAAATATCCTAGGCAAAAATATCCCGAACCGACCTTAGGGCGACCGTGAAAGGGAGCACGTCACCTGCTACCGTTCTATTCCTTCCACTGGACTCAGATTTCTTCTTTGTCTAACACTCGTGACAAAATGAATATCACATTTACTCGACAAGGTCTTTCTTACCTTGAGGTTTCTTCCTTATGGCAATGCGAGGAAGATAATGAGTAGGTCGGGCCTTTCTCGGCTCACAAGCCCCATTACTGTTACACGAAACTGAATAACAATCGTCCTCAATCATAAATGCCAAATCACAGGAGTCACGCTTGCAACAGAACTGCATGCATATGTCCATGTTAGTGGTCTTCCCGTTATCACTAAATGTCCCTGCATTGATGCCCCCGACCAAAGTGTAATTGGACAAAATTTCACCGTCCCAGCACACGTTCTTCTGTTGAGGTGACGCTGTACAAGAGAGAAGGAAAAAGAGTTTCCGTTAATGTGCTAATTTGTTGTGGGTTTTCGCGTACATAAAGTAGTGGACGGTCAGGCATGGTGGAAATACCTTGTGAAGTATGAGAGTTCTGTCTGTGCGTTAAACGTAATCTTGCATAGTCAGCAAATCTGTCTAAGTCTGCGTTACTCAGTGACTTCAGGGCGTCGTTAACGCTCTCATAGTGATGTGGACGTTCTTGGTTGTCATCATCTCTCCACTTCCTACTGTGTTTGTTTTTATTGACAACTTTATGAAGGAATTTGTGGAGAAGCACCTTCAAAACTTTGTCAACAGTCATGTGATGCGTATTTGATAGCGCGTGAATAAGAGATGCGCTACCATACGTCTTATCGTGTGACGCTAAATTGTTAATAGATGCGACGTGGTTTGTTTTGGGAGAATTCATCTCCTTCATGAACACACCCAGAATACTCCGCGGGGGCGTTATCTGAGTTGTTTTAACTGAGTCTACTTTTGTAACTGGTGTTGCAGTGGCAATTGTCTGATCTTCACCATGAAAGACTGGCAGAGCGTACACATTCATTTGTCCTCCCTCAATGTTCGCTATAAGTGTTTCAAACCGCATTTGAGGCGTCGTTGGCGTAAACATGTCGGTAGAGAAATTTTCGTCTATGATTTTACTCATTGATTGATTGTCACTAGGGAATGTCTTCAGAGACGTGCTAACTTTATTGCTTACGTCATTATTTGCGTCAGTGTTTACGTCAGTGTTCACGTCTTTTTCCACAGAGAAGTCAGTACCATCACCGTATTTGTCATTCACAGGTGTAAAGTTTACTGCAGTCTGTTTTTGTGGCTTCTTTCCATACAATAGGCGCCTGATGATTTTCATGAGAGCCTTAAGTTTTGGCCGGTTTAACACTGTGGAACAAGGTTCAAGGCAAATATACTTTAACGAATAAACTGAGGGAGAGTTGAGGCATCCAGCAGCACCATCTGATACTTTATTGAATGTTTGGAACAAAATGAACGTGACTTCAAATTAAAGACCCAGTTTTGACCAGTATACATTGTGCGCGGCGTTGGCTATCGGCGGCCATTAACTCAGCGCTAATTATTGCACAAGCTTCGGGAAAACATTGCAAGCCTCGTTTTCGTGAAAACAACCACAAAAACAGAGGCGCGCGATGCATAATGGCCAATACTGGGTCTTTAATTCTGTTAGCTAAGTGGCCTATTGCAGTTAGAACCTATCCTGGTTTCCATTTCATATAAGGTTGGGGGTCTCGCTACTTCTCATGGCTGCTATGCTATCCCATGGTGGGTAAAAACCCAACCCAGCATTTTCTTTCTTATGATCTATTAGAGAGCAGACGCATAGATGGCGTCACCATGAAAAAGTTTGCTTCCTTATTATATAAAACTAATAGATTCCATGTTACAGAGGGCCTGTACAGTAATGCATCACAGAATACATCAAATTGTGGTAAGAAAACCAGTGACACACTCGTCTGCGCCCCGTGGGCCACATTTTTGTTCTTACTATAAATTTGACGTCAAAAAACGCAATCTTTTTGTTAACTCTATACTCTTGGGTGGAGAAAGTCTGTGTATGAGTAAAGTGTTTTCACTCAAAAAACAACTCTGTCACCTGAACGAGGCTCTAAACTGGAATTCTCGACAACATTTAAGTGTGACGCCCATAGTGCGACTTCTCTATTTTCTTGAGTCAATAATCTACGGATATAACTACGAAATACAAACTTGAACAGGAACAATCCACAAACTTACCTTTATCTTTCTTTGTGTCGTGATACACATAAACAATTCGCGGGTTGTACCTTGCGGGATTTCTTGCGGGACGTGACTCGCACAGTGATTCATTCAAGCAGCTCACACCGTAGCATTCGTTTTCGAGCATGAACGCTACATCGCAAGCGCCTTTCATGCAGCACCGCTGTGTGCAAAGACTCATATTGTCAGCGTCGCCAAGATCAGTAAACTTTCCTGCGTTTATCCCACCAACCAGTGTGACGTCATTGTGAACTGCGCTTGCGCGGCATTGAGAAACATCTGAAGGTTTGGGTTTGTTGGCTTCAAAACAAAAACAAAGGGAAAATCAACGCATGTGCAGTTGAGCATGTACACTGAATTAAGAGGCAGAAGTTCAGAAAGTTGTCGTAATTACCTCTCAGTTTTTTGCGCATTAAGTGTCTAGGAGAATGGCCGCTCTCTATCAATAGCAGTGGCGTATTCACTGGGAGGGACTGAGGGTTTTGTTTCCAAGTCTATCAAGACTTGTGGAATTTTTACTACTAAGATTCTCGCAACGACAGATCGCATATTACCGCACAACGAAGGGATATGGGTATAGATTTATCGAATAATTTGCCTGGAAGAAACATTTCCGTGTTTTCTGAACCACAGTTTGGAATCCTCTCTCCCAACTTCCCGCCCCCCTCCCATTATAAACTCCTGGATTCGCTTAACTTATGAATTGACTCATATATTAATTTACAAGGTTCCTATCGCTTACATTTGAACTTTTAGTGAGACAAAAAAGTCTGAGACAGTTCTTTCGCAAATTTTGAAATTACAAAAACTCTACCAACGGCAACATAAGATTCTGTTCTCACCTGAGACAATCTCCTTTGTGTGCTTGACAAACGCTATCTGTGGCTTGTAAAACGGTGAAAACGCAGGTTTTGTGAGACAGAGAGCATCACTATAACACGCCACGGCGAAGCATTGCTTCCCAAGCATAAATGCTAGACTACAAGTTTCCATTCTTCCACAAGCGCGCACGCATTCGGACATGTTCCCGACTTTCCCTTTGTCGCTAAACTTTCCTGTTTTAATGCCATACTTCAGCGTTACATTGTACAGAATTTCACCTGCTGTATAGGTGTTCTTGTGTGGCAAGCCGTTTTGAAGAGTAAGGTAGTTTTCTTGGATTTCAGGTGTTGGTGACGGCGAAGTGGTGGGTGATCTTTGTGTTCCACTAAACGTGGTTGGGGTGAAATTAGTGGATGACGGGCTTGAAGAGCTTCCCGTGGTCGCTGTGCTGGAGGTTGAGCTTCCCGTGGCACCAGAAGGAGAAGTGAAGTTGTTTGTGCTTTCTGTTGGCTCCACTTCCAAGTTATCTGTAATACAGGTACCTTGATTTATTATGGAAACTTGGCATGGACAAGAGAGCGAGCCATATTCATCGGAAAAGTGAAAAATTCTTACTATTGATTAAGTTAACAATCATCATGCGAGGTTGTTTTTCAAAGCTTTTATGTCTGGTCTCAGAAATCAAATTTTGTTCATCTTATAAAGTTCGTATGAGGTAAAGTTTGCACCTGGTCTTCAAGTTAGTAATTTCTTCGTAAATAGTGAACAAAATCCTCTTGTTGATAGACTATGAAACTGCCAACAAATCAAAATTCTATCTGAAGATGACGATGAAACAAAACATAGGCGAAGACATAGGGCCGTGTGGTAAATCACTGAAGGTGGATAACAAAGAAGTCGTTTTCGTTTTGTTATCAACATTGAGTCTCGGGTAAGTTGGGAAATACGTTTGATTTGATTTGTCTCACCTATTAGTCTATATACGCTATTGGCATAATTCCCACCCAGTCCATCGCGGCATCTCCTTGATATTCCATACGTTTTATAGTCAATTTCAGCGCGGGGTCCACCAAAGCACATTCCTCCTCGCTGAAGGGCGAAGACAGGATAGCCTCGCTTTCGCGCCACCTCTCCGCACTTGCGCAGTGGATCGAGGCGTGATTTGTAAAAATCGTCTAATTTTTCATCTGAGTGCTCCATTACAGGCAGGGCATGGATACCGGAGTCGTTCCAGCAACCAAGCGAGATGTAACCTGAAATTTAAATTGAATCGGGGAGCGTTTATAACTGAATTAAAACCTCTGCGCGTAAATTAAATCAATCTTTCTCTTTAATTCCACATACTCACCAATATCTGTCAGTCGGTAGACATCATTGGCGAACAAGCCTCCCTTTCCTGCCTTACAAGATGATGATTCGCCAAACTGGTTAAACGTTCTTCCCGCTTTCGGTCCGCTTAGGCAGGCTCCGCCATTCTGGATGGCAAAAACTGAGACAAGCAAAAAAATCATTGGTTACAACTTATAGCAATCTTTCTTTGCATTTCAAATGTTGGTGTACATTCATATAAGCTAATTTCCACACAGTGTCCAACCAGTTTAAGCAAGCTGCTAAATTTGATTACTGAGCCGATCAGAATACTAAAAATTTATTGCCGCTAAGAACGCTGAGCATTTGATTGAGATGTTTACGGCACATTGTCACCGACATCAAATTTAATTTAGTCCCCCTCCGCCCGATCACGAGGAGCTAAACGGTAACAGCTTACCTTTGTAGTCGTGCTTTCTTGCTACTTGTGCGCATGTGTCGATTGGCTTCTGTCGTGTGAGATAAGGCTCTGTTAGCAGAGGATCTGCGCCTTCCAAAGGGGAAACTGCAAACGATTCCGTGTCTTTCCAGCAACCTAAAGACGCATACCACCTGTTGGCTGTAAAACACAAAGTAGGATTTGGAGAGTCCAGTGAGACTGTTGTCAAAAGAAATTCAGTTCTGCATTGGTTTCGCTTCTCTGCACGCTTTGATTGCTTGAGAAAGCTGGCCTTACCCTCTCAACCAACCAGACACTTAAAGTAATCGCAAGTCGGTCACTTTTGTCTTCCGCGTTTAAAACATTTTCGCCGTTGGATTGACTTTGGTGTTAGTTTCACCTCAATCGATCGAATTGCACTTAAACCCTAACAGTAAGCATAATATGTCTCAAACTTTGGTATCCCTGAGTTGAAAAAGAAAAGCAAAGAAATAAGGTTGGTGACTCGACGGATTAAACAACTTAAAGTAATACCTGGAATTTCGTCGTCGGGCGGACTCCAATTCACGTAAGCCAGTCTCGGGTGATAATATTCAGAAAGCGCTGGTTTTATTTGGCACGACTCATAATCTTTACACGATACTAAGAAACAGTTGTCCCGGATTAGAAAAGCCACGTTGCATTGTCCGTCTGCACAGCAATAGGCTGAACATTCGTCCATGTGCTTGACCACGCCTTTGTCAGTGAAGTTCCCTGACTTGATTCCCCCACGAAGAGTCACGTTGAATATGGTGTTACTGACGGACAACTTATCACAAGCGTCTGAGTTTGGCTTTTCAGCACCAGGTAAAGGATCTGGGAATAAAGAAATAGAAATAGCATTAAGCGAAATAGACAAAAGCTCATCATTTCTTGCAACCTCTAGAGATGATCGTTCTCTCCGATGGCAGAGTCAAGGTTTCGTACTCTCAATCCCTACACCCAGGCGAACTGGTTGACTACAATATGATGAATACTTAATTGGTATCTGATTACGTTCACCCTTGTTGACTGTACGTTGATCGATATGGGAAGCCTGGAAGGGAAAGAGGAAAGGCGAGCTTCTTGTTGCAGGCTTGTGACATGTATTAAGAGAGGTTCACTTTTATTTATTCCTGGCGGAAAATATAAAAATGTGACTGATATTAAGCGAACAACCACTCAACAGAGGAGAAAGCGGCATAATAAACGAAACAAGGTTTTGAAGTCGAGGAAGCACACCAATTACCAGACTGAAACGACATTTCTGCACTGGATAATACGAGAGGGTAGCGGAAATTGCCGCAAAAAACCATCCAGGCAGGTAAGCTGAAATGGAGTCTACTAAACTTCAGTAACCATGAAAACCTTATTCTAAGCGAAAGATTCAGAGCTTAACAATTCCAGAAAATTAAGAGTTGCTTGAGGAAATGATACTCTGAGAGATGCCTTGTAAAAATATATTCTTTACTTACCCCCTATCGGACTTTCATTGCCACGGTACACGTATGCCACAGTGGGGTTATAAGAGGAAGGTTTTGCTCGCTTCACCTGACACCCCTCCGCATCCGCACATTCAACTGCGTAACAATTTCCCTGGATCATAAACGACACGTCGCACTTGTCGTCACGGCAACAATGACGTATGCACTCATCCATATTGCGGGCTCGACCATACGTGCTGAATTTTCCTGCGTTGATCCCGCCGACCAGAGTAACGTTGTAGCTCACAGCAGTGTGGTGACAAATCGGTTGGTCCTTAGCGGGTAATGTTGTTGGTTTGGATATACTTGAGGTGATAGCCTTGTTGTAAGCGCTTCCATCTACAGGCAGTTCTAAGGAAAAGAAGAAATATTCAGTACCAAAGCTTCTGATCAATTATACTAAGTTTGATGGAGATCACCATTTATAATATTGGACAACTTTATTCAATGTGCTTACATTTTACAAGCTAAGTCGCTGGTCACCAGAAGTTGGAGTTAACCTTGAAACTATGAGTGACTTTTGTAACACTGCGTTTTAACACCATTCTGTCGATGTCTATTAGACGAAAGGATTAACGAACGGTGGATAAATACTAACATGCACTTGATCATGAAAGGAAAAAAACACTTTGAGCTTCACACAGCGAGCAAAGTGATATGCCGCGCGTGGAAGCGAAATATTTATCAAACCACTCCCTGCAAAATTGCAATTGGCATTTGAAAACTAGAAAATTTAAGCAATGATTGAAGAAAATATTTTACAAGTCTTATATCCAGAGGGCGAATACATGAATAGTGTAAACGTCGCTTGGAAGCTTTATTTACTTTTTTCAGCCGTTCAAACGTTCCGTTTTTAGGAACATCTGGAATCAGAGTTTAGAATTAGAAGCCAGTCTTGTGAACACCTGGATTTTGGTAAGTTTGGGATTGCATAATGATTTTAGATGAAATTTATATATTTGCACTGCGGTGAAGAAACGAATTTAAGAGATCCTCGCAGCTTAGAACACTATTGAACTAATAGTTGAAAATAGGACCTGAAAAAAATTCAGTCCCGTACGGGATTTGAATCCATGACCTCTGCGATACCGGTGCAGCGCTCTACCAACTAAGCTAGCAAGCCAAGTGGAAGCTGGTCAATATGTTGGGTCCAAGTAAACCATCCAAGTGATGAATAATGATTTTAGATATATGAAATTCATATATTTACACTGCGGTGAAGAAACGAATTTAAGAGATAATTGCAATTTGGGATTGCAATGATCGCATATCAACTTACCTGGCTCGGGTGTCATCGACTGCAAGTGTGAGACAAAAGTGATACTGGGGTTCATATTTGAAGGTCGCGCCCGTTTGGTCTTACATAAACTCTGATTGGTACATCGCACCAAATAGCACGAGTCCCGGATCATGAAAGCCAAGTCGCACGACTTTCGTAAACAACAATGTTTTGTGCACAAGTCCATGTCGTGCACGTGCTTTGCCTCAGAGAAGATCCCGGATTTGATGCCGCCAATCAGTGTAACATTATATTCGGGTCTTGTTACGGCGCATCTCTGCGAGTCGTCAGCTTGTGTAGGTGTGGGTGGTCTTTCAGTTTTCTTGGTCTGGTGGACGGTTTCTAGAAAACGAAAAGTAATATCATTCAACCATTTGGTGTTTTGCCTATTGTGGTCTGTATATGTCTTATGCGCTAGTCAAATCGAAACTTCAAAATCCGTCCCCCCGGGTGGAATTTGAGCCAACTAAATACATGGGTCTCGATTTTAAACATGGATGACTTTAAAGATAGAGTGTCCGCTTTCGTGAGTTAGTGACCTAGAAGAAAATTTTCACACCGTAGAATGATGCCCACAAGCGAAAAAAACACAAACACCAGCACCAAAAACTAGTAAGTGAGTTTACTAAATTGTACAATATTCGTTGATCTGAAAGAATCGTTCAATAAAAAAACGTGCTTGAGTGCGGCATTTGAACACAATTTTTGCCAGGGGTGGGGGGTGGGGAAGAGGCAGGAATTTGAACGAAACAATCTTCAGAAGTATAAAGTATACTGGGGGGTTGGCCGAGGGGATGTTGAAGCTTCGAATTGATCGACGAATTAGCTTGAAAAATTGATATAGATTTAACTCAAGCGAGGAACACAGTCAAACATCTAACCGACCATGTTCATTTGCTTTGAGGTGTTATTTTGTCCATTCCTTAAACAATGTTTCCGCTTCTCAAAAGAGAAGGCCTTCGGATGAAAAGCCATAAAAACAATCCGGAACCGAAGAAAAGGTCTCATGGAGCCAAACAGAGGTTAAAGTATAGGCATGGAAAGGCCGACGGGAAAAGACCAATTACAAAGTCGCGACTAGTTTAAGTTTGGTATTTGATTGGAAGTAAGGGTAGAGTGACGTTTCTTGATAAATCAAAAGCAAAGCAATCCCGATTTACTGTGGACGCTCTTAAACCAAAAGTAACCCGGTAAAAACAAGGCCGAACAGCTAATGATCTCATTTACTTCCTACCTGTGTTGTAAGAAATGAGAAAACCTTTCCCTTTCCCTCCCTCAGTGCTGGTAAACTGTACAAACAAATGATTCCCACTCGATGTTATCCCTGTCGGCCGCTTGGTTCCACAGTAAACCCCGAGTGCCTCCGAATTTTCTCCACTTCCGTCTCTAACAATAAGTTTGGCATTTTTGCACGTCCCGTCTTCATCCAAACTGAAGCGTTTAAAACTAAGCGTGATTGCCTCCCTCGGATCAACAGACAGATGCCATGCACAAGTGGTTTTCCCTTTATAGCTTCTAGGCCATTCCGGTGATTCCAAAATTCCTTTTGGACTGTTAAAAAGGCCGCCGCATACTAAGGGAAGGAAAAGAGAGAGATCTCGAGTAAATCAATACTACGTACATGAACTGAAAATGAAAAAAAGGACAACTGGTTCTGACGTACCACTTTGTTTTGAGCTTTATGGAAAAATTTATTCAGGTTTAGAGCAATTTTCAATTGTGCTAAAACTGATCCAGAATTCCTTTGTTTTTGCTTTGTTTCGCTCTGTGATTGGTCCAGAAAAACTTCCGTCACTTTCTCATCCACTCAGATGCAAAACCAATCACGCCTTCGTCGTCCACGTTTTTCCGCGCTTTAAGCAGTTCGTTTTTTTTTTTTAGTCTGAGTTCTCATTGGCTCTAAAAAGTATTTTCCTTTGATCCGACCGGTCGTTGGGATTACTTTGGCGTTTGTTTTTTTACGAAACTCAATCGAAAAGTGCCCTTAACACCGTGACTTACTAGTTTGTGTGGTCGTATATAAATCCTTTGAAATAACTTGGCTCCTCGGCTTTCAGCCTAAAAATATGCATCTTAGCCGCAACAACGATAGCACATACACAGACGTTTAACCACCGTGTTACTACCCAATCATCTCAGACTGACCTCTTTCAAAACTGCATACTTTCATGAGTTTTCCAATTTCTTCCTGCGACAAAGCCTTGTTGTAAATCCTAAACTCGTCCACCTCCCCCTGGAGAAACCTTTGGTTCTTGTGTTTTCCGATTCCCGCGTGCGCATCCCAGTCTTGAGACAGTAGACCCTTCCCGGCAGCCTCTGCTTTTAGTCCTCCATTGACAAAAATCTTAGCGATACCAGTGTGCGCGTCATACGTGCCGACTACATGGTTCCAAACATTTGCAGGAATTATTGGATCTGTAGAAAATTGAAAGGGTAAATGCCTCTATTTTTTTATTATGGACATGCATGTTCAAGGATATTTGACGGTCTCTGCATAATCAGCTCACACTTGTAGCCAGGAAAAGCTTATCAGTGACCATTGTGATATTTTTGGCCATTTGTAAGCATTGGACTTCGCAATGGCATATTTACTCAGAAAGTTTTTCTTTCTTATTATTTTAGCAACTCATTAGCTCGAGAAACAAACTCATAGACAAAAGCTGACCTGCTTTTTCCCTTGAGCATCAGTCAAAGTCCGAACAACCCTTCCCATTCAGACGACATTACTTGAGCTGGACTTTCGAACAATCGTTAAGGAATAGAAATACCCGTCATGCTCCATACCGCAGAACCTCGGAAAAGACACCGCTCCAGATAGGCTCGTAAATTTTTAACCATATAAAGTAGATCAAAGTGAGGTCAGTGAAAGGTTCTTAAAGCAGATGTAAACTTCGCGGCAGTACATCAGACGTACTTCATCATACTTACGCAATAACTTTTTTCCGCCAAAAGAACAAATTATCTCGCAGAAGAAGAAGTAACAAAGAGCTGATCTTGACGACTCATTTGAGTTGTCAATCGCCGACATACCTGTTTCAACGCTGAAGATTTTGATCCCAGTTTCATTCCTGTGGAACCACCGAACACTGCCATCTTGAATTTCGAAATGATATTGTCCTTGTTGATGCATAGAATGGCCACCTACTGTGTCGAATATCGAGTGATAACCCTTGTTAGAATCGAGTTTTATCCATGCTGCAATGCTTACGGCTTGACGGGGTTTCATCTGAAGAGAGATTCCAAGATTAAAACTTAAAAGAAAGACATAATGTCAAATCTCCTGAAATATCTAACCCAATAAAAATGTCGAGAAATTTGTTTGCCCAAAGAGCTACTCCATTCTTTGTCCTTAGTCGCAGCGAGGAAATGAGTTTACATCGTCTCCCACAGTATTTAGCACTTTTTTCGGCGAGACATGAATTATGTAAATCTGAAGAAGTTAGCCCGCCTCTTATGTAAATGACTTGTGAATTCATCCGGTATGTTGAGTGATTTAAAACTACTAAAATCAGCGTGTAAGTTCTCTAAAAAGCTTAGCTGCAAACTTGTTTGTATAGCGCAACTTGAAACGACTGTTTTATAGTTACGAGAACCACCTTTTTAATCCCATGCAAAAGTTTACTTGAGTACGTTTTCTTTCGCAATGATGCAGAAGACACAAGCAAAACCAATCATGTTTATCACTTCAGCTTTAAGTCGTTATTAGGTTTGATGCATCTGCAGGAAGCGTTGATGGTAATAAGACAACTTGGAAATTAATGAGCATAGATAACTATAAATGGCGTTTTGAGTGAGAATCAGTCATGAAAACCAGATTAAGCACAGTTTGAACGCGGCGTTTGAAAAGCTGTTCAATCTATCATGACCACAACAACTAACGATTATTGGTCATACTCTAATCCACTTTCAGCTTCAACTTAAAAAAAAAAAACTTGCATATTGTGCAGCCATCTCATTAAACCCATTCACTGTCACTACATGTATTTACCTTCAACTGCTTGCCGTTGAGAAGTATCTCGCTTCCGTTGTTAAGCCTTGCAACTTTTCCACATGATCCGAAAAACTTTGTGATCTCTGTTCGCTTGTCCGTGCCAGTTACATCTCCATTTAAAGATGCATACGTCGCTCTACCGTTTTGCACATTCTCTAAATCCAAGTACAAGACAAGCCCTTGCGGAACGCGTGATCTCTGTGACAAACCGTTTTCAAAATTTAATAGATTGTTAAGATTCGCCGTAGGCGAGGATAAGGGCCATTCTGGATTTATTCTTGCCCCCTCCCGAAAGAATGGCAATGGTTTGGTTGGCCTCATTTGAGAAAAGGAGGTGATTCGTGGGTCGCCACCTGCAAGCGCTATCTGAGATTTTATAAACTGGGGCTGATAATTGAATTGATGTCCATAATTGTAGAGGGCACGCTGTGAAGTGGGAATAAACTGCTTTTTACTCTGATCATCGGTGTTCTGTAAGCTATTTCTCTGTTGCTGTCCAGCTCCGTATTCATATCTCACTGGTTGTGGAACATTCGATTGGCTAGGTACAGGGGCGTTTTGCAAAACTGTGCGCCAGAGAGAAGCAATTTGTGGTGTCCTTAGCTCCGATTTCAAAGTCATAGCTTGATTACTCTTTGGAATAAAACTCACTGTCGATGCAAGCGGATAAAGAGCTCTGTTAATGTTAGAAACGCTCTGTCTCCGGTTTTCAACTGCACTGTATTCCTTAGGAACTGAGGATAGTTTGTTCGGATTCAGTGATAGAGAAGAACTTTTTGCCCCGTATACTACTGGATCATACGTCGCATGAGGAATTACATTTCTATCAACAAGAGCCTTGTTGTAAGAATTTATTGTCGCACTTGGTGCCCTCCAATCTGTTTCCTTCAGGAACTCTCCCTTTATGACCCCATTTAAGGGAAATGTGGATGATTTTCCTGGAAACACACTTCGAGGTTTAACATGTTTCTGTTGGGGTGTTTGCCGGCCTTTTTTCCCTTTGTGTTCTTTCAAGTCGCTGGACTGTGCCTCGACATCGTCCTGTCCCAAAATCGACTTTCGTTTGAATCTCAGTAAGACTCGTTCACCACCAAGACGAAAAGGAAGATGCTGCAAAGACCGTCTCTTCATCATAAAACGTTTTTGTTTAAGTTCATCCCTATCAGAAACGGCAATGTTACGCTTAAATCTCCCTAAGCTTCTTTCCTGATGCTTTAAACGTGTACGATGATGCTGACCGCTGGTAACTTTGGAAGAGTATTTTCTCCTTTTCTTTTCGCTTGAATTGAAGTGTGTTTTAGCTATGTCGCTTTTACTCTCTCGTTCATAATGTGTCTGAAGCTTTGACCGATCTGGTTTATTTAACGATAGTTTCAGATCTCTCTCAGTTCTTCTTTTGCCACCTTTCCTAGATCTTTTCCCAGTAGAAGCTTGTTTTTTGGGACTAAAATTACCACGAGAGGTTTGTAAGGCACTTCTAAGCTTGTTTATATCATTTGAAGAACGCGTTAAATCATAAAAATGAGTGACATTGTTAGAAAAATGGGTAACGTTTTGTGAAGGAATCCGCTGCGCTTTAATAGTCAACGTGACATCAGAAAAGTTTGCTCTTTCGAGCGGTATTTTATTAGACACGCCTGGGACTTTGGCTCTCGTCGAACGCCTTCTGATTTCTTTTGCAGAAGAAACACCCAAACGACGTTTATTTTTAAGGTCTTGTTTTTCTGAGGATGATGGTGCATTGAGAAGGTGGATTCCATCTTTTCCGGGATCAGTCAGATTCGTTGAAAGTGGAGAAGACGACTGAAACGAATCGTTGAAGAAAGCTTGCGAAGGGCCTGCAAAAAAGGTGGCAGAACATAGAAGTTTTTGTGAGATCTGGGCAAGAGTATACAGCTTCTGGTCTAAGGCTCGGGATATGCCGAGCTCAGTTGAAGTTACCTATGGTCTCTCGAACGGCGGTCTATTTACATTTAAGTCGGCATCAAGGCTAACATTGACCCAATACAAGCAATTTATTGATGAAAGCGTGGAAATTTGGGACAAGAAGGAGAATTGCTTATGTGATCTGAGGAGTAGAAGGGTTAACTTCCGTCGCGTAAAAAAGCTTTTTGGCGGTCAGTTTTGTCAATCTCTTAATTAGCACTTTCGAGGATTGCCTGCAGGGATTGACTTCAACTGTTAAATGTTAAACGACCTTGGCGGTTTGTTAGTCGATGATATTTCTCGTAAAAATTCAATGAAAACCACGCCTTGATTTAAAAAAAGAGATAAGTTGACTTCATAACATCAAAGATCACAAGGTTCTCAAGGTACACGCCTCTCAAAAAGGTGACATGTCACACAATCCACTGAAAGAGAGCCAAAGGATTTCCCCTGAAGATTTTCAGGAACGTCAAACAAAGAACTTCTACCCTCCCTATTACCGATATACATATTCTTTATGCAATGAAACTAAAAGCTTTTTTACATTAATCATAAAGATATTTTCATGTGAAACAAAATAAATAAAGGAAACTGTATTTCGTCCAAATGAGGAAAATATATGCTCACGGAAGGAAAACAAGATTGTGATTCAAAATATGCGCTCGAAGAGTTGAAAGAAAAAAAAAAAGAAGAAGGTAAAAGCATGGATACAGTCCTTATTTCGCCCTCTTTAAATCTTAATTAGTTCCTCTTCATCCCAAGGGAAAGACAGGACTTTTCCAGCCATTTTCCAACCCATTCTAGATGGAACAACTTTGTTTCGCTTAACTTTTGATTTTGCCTTTTGCTGATATAAATGATTAAAGAGAGTCCTTTTTTCATAGAAAAAAGGGTCTTTCATACATGAATGACATCCACTCACAGCTAATTACTTCCGCAATGAAAACAGCACAAACTTACACGAATATTTGATCAATTCCGACATATTTTATGTACGAAAGAAGAAACCAAAATCACCAGAACACATAGCTTTATACAAATTTGTGTTGCTCTAACGTATATACTTGATGTTCCACAAGTAATCTCCTCGTTCACAATTTCAAAACTTCAACAATCACAAGTTATCTTCGGACAATTAACCTAACTTACTAACCGTATACCAAACAATAAACAAACAACTGGTTTTAATTGACGAAGCAAAAACCTGTCAGATTTCGACACAGTAAATTGAAGAGTATGATCTGACGATCTTTCTTTTGACGCAAGAATGATATCCTTTCATTTCATTGTAATTGCTAGCTTCCAGCGAAATTGCGCTATTTCTAATGATCGGTTCTTCATTCTTGGAGAGTTTGATGGAACTTAACGGTGGAAAATCGCAAAGACATTTATAGATGCCCAACAAACGAAACACGCATTAGCGAACCACAAGTCTATTATAAAAGATACTGAGAACGAAATTTCTGCAAAACTAATTTTTTCTTAAAATTGAACACTTCTCTCTTTGTCCTCGAACCCATGGCAGGTTTGATATGGGGCATTCTTTCAAAAGTGGGATTACTGCGAACGTGAAAATTTTTCAGGGATTCTCGCCTTTGAGATCCGGTGATCAGGAACATGGGTCGACACTTGACTTAGCAGGTAGCTTTTCTTATTGTTTATGTAAACATAACTCGAAGGTCAATTTTACGAGAACACGTTGCTTTATCCTTACAACTGGTTTCTAAATCAACAAGGTATATTTCAAATCAAAAATAAAACAGCCGATCTAGATCAAAAGGCTACTAAACTTTTTTTGCTTTCGAAACCGGTTTTAAACTCGAGCATTAAATTATTTAGAAATACCTGTCTTCGAGGCGTGAACCGTGAGTCTTCTCGCTTTTTGAACTTTAAACAGAGACAAACGGAAATTATATTCCCATTAGCAATTACAGGCGAACCATTTCCCTTATTCTAAAAAATCAAACTTTGACGGGTGATCGTCAATATGTTAGACTGAATTTTGTTTCGAAGACCCAGAAAGACGCTATGGAATTCGTAAATTCGTAAGATTTAGTGTGTAAAGTAAACAATTGCAAGTGAGACGAGCGTAAAATAAATGTTCATTTCAGAGTAGTCACAGAAAGGTTCCAGTTCTTTATTGATGGAATTTTTGGTCCTCTTTCGATTATCAGATAAATGATAATTGAGGAAAAGATTGTGTGGATGAAAATAATTAACTAGTGAGAGTGGTTATTGACACAAGTGGCCGAGAACAGTGTTCATTTTCAGCAATTCATACAAACGTTAATTAAGTTAACAAAACTAAAATGTTGGTGAACTATCACGACAGTTTTGTTTGGCAAAATTCTCCCTCTTTAATAAAAGCTTGGAGAAGGTAACTCACTCAGGTCTCCGAACTGTTAGAGGGACGAATTTAACAAACGATTCAATACCATTTTACTACGAGCGTAGAGGTTTCTACCAGAAGTAAGATCAATACAAACACAAGCAAAACATTTCAAAAGGATTACCTTGTAACAGGCCGACTGACAAGATGATAAACCAGATGCGTTTGATACGCGAGATTCTAACGCTCCGGACATCTCCAGAATTCCCCACTCTTATGCACATTGAAAATCGACCATTCGACAAGACGGGACTTTCCAATTTACCATGGATGCAAATCAATGTGTTATCGCTCCCCGCCACCAAAACTTTTACAAATCCTTATGACCACAGCCGAGATAAATTAATCAATCATGGTACAAGCACTCCAAATCTGTTAAATCTCGCATCAGGGTCCAAGTTTGAAAATCGCCGCGGAAATAGGAACAAAATAACGATTGCTGAGAGTTCCGTGTACCAACTACAATTGGAACCCATCTACAGGCCTGCTTGACAAGCATTTCCATGACATCACACGGTGAGAATTCTGGCAGTTTCAAACAATTACGTCATTGTGGCGAAATTCGCGGGCTTGTCGGCGCTTAAACGAAAAACATTCACACTTTGTAGCTCTAATAGCAACATTCAAGATGGAAGTGGACCAAACCGAAGGCGTATGTGTCGCAATTCGGCTCACAGAATGGAACGGATTCATATCTATGGCGTGGACAGATTAATCACATTTCATAACGTAGATGGAAATCAAACTGACAGGGAAGATGTTGAAAGACATTTGATGGCACTGAACCGTTAAAAAAGATAACTTTTGAATAGTGTAACAGGTGGAATATTCAGTAGGGCTCATCTGGTAAGCTGCGTGAAAAATATGCATCTTTTTTTCTATTAATTGACCTAAATCATCCCTTTCTATTTTGTCGTCACGAAATTTCGTTTCTTAAATTTACCACTTTTTCTGGTTTGCCGTAACATCAGGTGACTTTATCCAAATCTTTACCAAGTAATTTGGAAAAGTTCCTTGGAAATCGTACGACGTTCGTCACTGCACGTCAAAAGTGACCATTCATATTGCTTCTACGCCATGTTAAGTTGTTTCATCCCACTGTCTGCATGTGTCACTGATATCTGTCAGGCGTGGTTTGAAGGCGCTGGCAACGAGTTTAACAATGAAGTAATACCCCTGAAATTGATGACTCAATATGATGATACGGTGTCATAAAGCGCCTTGCCACTGACACCCTCTTGTTTGCACTCGGCTATATCTAATAACATTGACATCATATGAACTTCAAAGTCTACGGGAGGTCAAGTAGATCGTATTAGAAAGACATCTAGACAGGTGCTTTCAACGACGGATGACCAAAAAAAATTTTACCGTTAACTTCTTTTTTCACAGTTTATTTAGGTTAAACCGAAGAAGTCATTAACGCAATAAAAACTCATACAAACTTACTTTTTACAATGAACCCTAAAGTAACATTCATATTCACGCACTCGAATAAAACTTTGCTCTCTGTCTGAGGACACTCTCGACCCTTATTGAATCTATATACCTTATGACTGAGTATCTTGAGTGAATTTGATTCGTAGACACTTTCGAAATAATTCCACCAACTTAACTTAATCAAATTGCACTCTGAAATATCATGATATTTCCTAAAACCCCCAAAAACCTTGTTTCAATTTCGATAGTTTGCAGGTGTCTGATTAAATTAAAAAAACAAACAAAAAGATGATATAAATTTAAATATATTACGAAAAGAACGAAAAACACGGAGCTAAAATCTAAATATTTCCGTGATAATTTTAGTTTTTTAGGATAACAATTTGAATAGCATTATTGTATTTGACGCTTTAAATGGAACTGAACTTCCCCAAGCCAATCAGTTTGTTACGAGCAGGTAAGTAGATCGTCTACACCTGTTTTCATGTGAGACGTCATGCAGCGTCACTGAAAAATTCATTTTCTGACCATTTGAATAACACAGTGGAAGAAATAATAAGAGCTTTATTTAAATAAATCAGAAAAAAACCAGGGAACGTACAGCGTCTACAAATTTACTACTGGACCCCACCTCTTCATACCAATCGACATAGACCATGCAATATCAAGTATCTGTTTTATGCTGTTTGAACGCAACTGGGCAACCAAAACTGACCCTTGATTTTTACGACCATGTCCGTGACTCGTTGCCATGTCCGTGACTCGTTATTTTTTGGAAGTGAGCGCGAGGTGATACGGGGGCCGCCTTCCCGTCGTCCCCTTTGTTGCGTCGTTGCTTGCCACACTCTGACTTGTCTCCAAACCTCTCGGTTATTTCAAGTTCGGTGGATGTAACGAAAAAAGTGTAATTCCAGCACTCGAAGAACTCTTAAAAGAAAGACTGCGGAAAACTATTGGTACAAAATGATTTGTTTCTAAAGCAATTTTTGAGCCGGTATCAAGTGATGCACCTACGATTTCCTTCATGAAGATTTCTGGCTAGCAATATATTCGAGGCAATCCTGCATTGTGTTTTCGACCTTGGTAAAAAAAAAAAAATATTTAAATTGGTTCTGAACTAAGTGGATATAACCGTGACTTTCTTAAAAACTTTTTGAAAAGATGAATCCTGAATCTCTGAGTCGATATCGTTATAGAATTTTTTTTCTGTACTAGAGTCATGGGAGAGGACTAATGACCAGGATTACAACCAAAGAAGCGTTAAAGCCACGATTCATTACAGAATTGGCGTTTAAATCTATCAAAATTATCTCGAGCCGCCGGTGACGACTTAAAAAAACCTCAGCAACACGCACGCGCATATGAGTGCCATGCCAATTACTATGCAAGTCAACAAGACGGTAAGGAACGTGCCACAAGTCAACCACGTGAGTTATAATTAGATCGACATGTAACGGAATACAGACTCTTGATTAATTCGAACAATCCTTTTACTGTCTGAAGTTTTTAGATGTAGCTTTTTTAGACTTATGGCAGAGTAAGGAGCGGTGATGCGAAGACAAATACATATTTTTGCACTCGGAAAAGGCTTGAAAGGCCCTCACGGTTGGGTAGCCCCCACAAAGATTATGTTAATTCATAATCAAAAGTCACCGGTCGTCAACTTTAACACAAAGACCGGGACAAATTTCGATAAACTTTGAATAAATGTCCGACAAACGAAGCTGAGGAATTAAGAATTTTTCTTTTACTAAGAGTCCAGCCATGTCACATGTTTTCCAAATTGTGACTGGAATCATAACAGGAAAGATAGCGAGCGTGCGGGACATCAGTTTTTGTGACGAAACAACTGACCTGAAATTGACCTTCTGACCATGAAACGTTTAAGTTGTCATGTATAAACTGAGGTGTAAATCAATAAACAGAGGGCCAGCCGGGCTATGACTTCAGAACAAGAGAGAGAACCATAGAAGAAGTGACGAAGGCATTTTGTTTCGTACAGAGGACAGTAAAAGAAGCAAGCTTATTACTCCGGTAAGTGAACGTTTTGGGTATACAGACGACTCATGTTTACTTTTGCAGCTCAAATTTTTAGTCAGTGCTGACAAAACCCCTTTTTCTATCTCCCTGGCGACGTTTTCGGACCATGGAACGCAAGCCTGATTTAATCATAGGTATCTGATATAAAATGAATCGTTTCAGCCGGATTTCGAATCCGAAAGTTAACAAAGAAAAGTTTAGTGAAATTTTACCCTGATATTTTATATTTTTGGAAAATAACCTAGTTAATACCAATATTTAGAGTGACATAACAAGGTTACATTTCTTAAACTGTCTTCAAAGTTATGCGAGCGACAGAGATCAGCGCCCCTTTAGAATTTTGTGGACAAAGTTTCTTTTGATCAAATGACTTAAATGATCACAGGCAAAAACATTTACTGATAAATCTTATCTCAAAAAGGTGGCCTTTTCGGAGAGAGATATATGCAAAATTCGTAAAGAACTTAAAAGCTGTCAAAAACTGTTCATCGAGTGAAGCTAGTTTCCCCTTTTTAGACGAGCCTTTTCCCTCCTACAGTGATTTAAGTTCAAGTACCTCTGTTGACAATTCCACTACATAATCCTTTTAACTCGTAACGAGATGAATAACTCATCAGTTGGAGGGCTTTATCTTGATGTAACACCGAATATTGTTTTACTGTTTACAAGGAATCGAGCGAGTCCTAAGAAATAATTATTCTTGCCCCTCACAGAGACATATAGTTTTCATGATAACTGTTACGCAGTTCGTTACGTACATAAATTCAGGGTAAACATATTCAAGATTTGTTCAATGTCATACATCGGGTTACTTCTGCTCTCGTAAATTTAGTTAGAGAATCCCTGTTTCATTTTTCATTTGCTGCTGTTGTTGTTGTTGTATCAATTCGGAATAATATTATCATCAAAAGCTGCGCTTAACATGACTCCGTTAACTTTATTTCTCACCATTCGTTCAAATCAAAGTGGAATGTGCCTTCATCTCAGAGTTGTAAAGAAAAGAGGAAGAAGACGAAGGTTTTTTTTTTTTTTTATCAGTAGAAGCCTTAACCGATACGTTAGCAGCATGCGTGCAATAATCTGTTATTCCTAAGGACACTTCATCTCAGTTCCTTTTTGATTTATGTTGAAATGACCGACCAAACTACTTGAAATATTTTTGCAGGTTTGCATGTGGTTCAGAGTCCAACTTAAGAGAAACAGCATCAAGATCCAAAAAAAAAAAACAGTGAGTTCCTATTCCAGGTTTTTTAGACAGGCACAGGCGAGCATCTGTGACGCAAGATACTTCCTTTACTTTTCCCACCAATTGCCCGTGGCAATTTCAAATACTATCTGCGTGCAAAAACAGCGAGAACCACAAATAAAACTTTAACTTTCCATCATAGGTAGAGATTTTTAAAATCGCCTATCCAAAATGACCGACTTGGAGTCAGACTCAGTCTCTACCAGCCGAACTGGATGTTTCGGCCAGATTAAAGACAAAATCACAACAGCACTCTCGGCAGCTGGTGATCGTGCAACCATCCCTGGAATTATTACCAACAACAAGATCACTCTAAAGAACATGGTCATTTCCTTAGCAGTACTGGGGCTCGAAGTTCTGCTTCACTCCGAGGTCTTTGACTGCCCCGTAAAGAATCATAAAGTCTATGCCCTCTCCTGGTTGTGTGCCCCACCAGTTATCATTTTCTTTGTCAACCTGCTTATCATTGGAGACATCTGGAAACTTTCCGATCATTGTCTGGTACGCGACTATTCTCAATTTGGCTACTTCTGTGGCCACACTATTCCCAGCATTGTCAAAGCGATGGCAGGAGCGTCTGTATGGTTGATCTTGGCATTTTATAGAAAGGATTATTACGTGTGCGCCCAGGTAGGACCAGATATCCGCAAGAGAAACGAAACTGATCCAGATAAGCTCAAAGAATACGATACGACCGTGGAGACGGCTGGGGCCGAATCTCAAATTTTCGCCTGGGCAGTTTTCGTGGTCATGGTTTTCTCCGCTTCTGTAGTGGTCATTAGCAAGAATTGTTGTCTTAAGGACCAAGACATCCTAGACGGTAACGCAATTTCCATTTTTATTCTTAATTTACAAAAAGTGTTGTACAATAGCAATACTAAAAGCCCGTTCTTAGAACCGCGCAATCTGACTGACGACGAGGCACTTGTAGTACTCGATTACGCATCCTTGCTGAAAATTATGTAACAGAGCCATGACTGAATCTTTCTTGTATTGTGCTCTTATGGTGTCGAGGGGATCTGGCGAAGGATTACGCTGGAAGCATGCATTTTTGATCAAACTCGTTTGTTTTAAATAAAATGGCGTGGCGTTCCGTAGACACGTTTTAGCTAATCTTAAAAACTTGAGGACAGTCTCTCTCTAATTTTCGTAATATACCAAAGTGTTTTCTGTGGCTTGTCTGTGTTTTTAATATAGAGTGTCTACCGTAACTGCAGCATCTATTCAAGTCATCTGAGTTTACGCTTACTCATGTATATCTTTTCTTAGACATACGCATATTTGAGGAACGGGAGGCGAAGTGGGCTAAGAGGACCTTTACTAAGCTCGCTAAGGGTTTGCGTGATAAAGAAATAACAAATGAAAACGAAACTGCCAACCAGGAAAAGGAGGAGGGAAAAGAGGTAAAGAAAATACTCTATCGCGGTGGAATTCCGGAAACATTGGGCGAAAAAAAGGTGATTGAAATGTTTAAAGGTTGGGAGGAAAAAAATCCAAATTGGCATTACCGTGATGCTTACGACCAATTCGAAAAGCTCTATCCTAGAGCTGCTAATGGCAAGCCTAGAAGTAGATGGAGCACAACACATTTATCCCAGCAATTTGCGAAAAATGCGCGCCCAGTGAACACTAATGAAGACACAAAGCTGCCATTCGAGCAAACAAGCAGAGGTACCACAACTTTGGAAGACACCAGGCCGCCAGTCGACCAAACAAGTGGAGGTAGCACAAGTTTGGAAATGCAGAAGATAACATCTACACGCAATGATGATATCACACAGGAACCCGCCGAAACAGCCAGACTTGTCGAAAGCACTTAATCTAAGCTAATTCAAAGAGGTTTTATGTTATAAATAATGATCTTTTAACATAGCTTCGTAAACCACCATACAAACGCATATAACTAATTGCAAAGTAACGAAGTCAGTTCATGTCTCAGATATGATTACCATTGGTGAAACGTAGGTCTTTTATAAACAGCATAAGTCAGCCGGTTTAGATTGGTCACAGAAAATAAACTCCCACGCGTTTGCAAACAAACCCAGACAACAATGAAACTCAAACTATCTTGAGAATATTTGCTCACGAAAAAGAGAAACAATGACTTGCAATTTTTTTAATTTATTGAATTTTTAAAATTTTTTAAGCTAGAGGACCAAAGCCCATTGGTTATTGTTTTCACTAGAAGTACGATATTAAACAGTTTTTGTATTTTTGAGGTTTTCCTAATGGGAAAGTTAAAAGGCCCTCCTTTAACACACTTATCTTGTACGGGTTTTAAGACTTAAGGTCAGGCAAGGAACAATGATACAGACGACAAAAAAAAAAAGAAAGAAAAGACGATCGTTTCAAGGGCAGTGTTAAATGCGTTAGCCCCACGTAGATTTTATGTTAATTCATAAACATGCAAAAGTCATAGAACGACCCAGAACCATTCTAATACAAACATGAACTGGTTCATTATATATAGGTGTTGACTTTCTGTTCAACAAACGAAGTTGAAGAATTGGGAACTTTTCTTTCATTAAAATCACAGTCAATTAAGAGTTGCCACACTTTTTTCAAACCGAGAATCAGAACAGAAAATATAGCGAACGTGCGAAACCTCAGCTCTCGTGACAAAACAAATGACCTGACCTTGGCCTTCCCACAGGATGAGACGTTTCAGTTGTCATTTGTATGCTACGCATGTACGGACCAACATTAATCGAGCTCATCGAGTCGTAACCTTAGAATTAAAAAAATTGGTCTCCTACAGAAGAAAGTCATAGCTGTGAAGCTTTACAACCGATACTGAAAGTGATCAGTACACACACGTGACTGCTTTCACGACGGAAAGAGCTCAAAGTACGATTTTAATGTGCGTTGCTAAGATTCGATTTATATCTCTGACCGACGACATTTTCGATCGTTGAGCGAAAGCCTGATTTAAATTTCATGGTTAACTAACATAAATCAAAACATTTCATCCAGCTTTCGAAACCTGAAAACTTACGACGTGACTTTTGGTGGATTATTTTGAACGATATTACACGACATTCAGGCAAACATAAATATCATTTCATTGATTGCAGATGATACTTGCGATGCTCAGAATTTTAATCGGGCGAAGGACAGGGACCCTTTAGTGTCTTAGAATACTGATCAAATTCTTTCCGCAGAGAATATTTTCTGGGCGAAATTCACATCATCCATCCTCACTATCATTCTGAGCTTTATGACAAATAGTTCATGATTGGTTACATGAAAATAATTTGAAAATGTGCCTGTAGCTATGAGACTCCGCTCGAGTCACGTTTGAATAATGATACAAATTTCAGCCGAGCAAGTCTTTTGTAGAACCTAGTTTTATTGATTGAATGTAAATGATCTTTACAAAATAAAAGAAGCTTCGGTTTTGATGGGGCAGTTTCCACCGCACGGAAGCAATCAATAATATTTCCGTTTGTACTAATCATGCCTCAAGCATAAAAAACCACTGCTTTAACTTAATAACGCTTTCATTCCACTCAAGTTATATCTTACAAATTTGTTACTGAGTTTCAGGTGAGTACGTTCCATTGTTTCTGAAGCACTCACAGGCTTCGTATGAGGTCATCTTTGAAAATAAACTTATTATAAAATGCTTCCATAATTTTGGTGTGGAAAGAATTATCTCGCACGAATTGTCGAGAAGGTTCTAACCCGTTTGTTACTTCGTACGAGAGGAATGCCTCCACTCAAAGCCAGAGGTGCTTCGAAAATCTCAGTCAAATTTTAGCGAGAAAACTCGTACACAAGGAAACTCGAGAAAATAAAAGTACCCTGGATATGATAATTGTGACGAAATAAGTACTTTCTCAACAGCGCTAAACGATATGTCTTCACTTATTTGACACCGGAAGGATGGGTTCAAATCTACCACTGTTTGTTTGGGATTAATTTAAAGTTGGTCTCTTTTAAAAGGATAGCGCTACTACGATTTTTCCGTTTTTAATTTTTCATTATTTCGTCTCTTTTGTTTCTTTTGGCGTTTTTCAGGGGAGAGGAGACAAGCATAAGTCAAGCGTACTGCTCGACCCCGTTCGTCTTGCGCTCGCCTCCGCTCGCCTCGCGTTCGCCTTTGCTCGCTGCGCGTTCGTTATCGCTCACATCCGCTCACCTCGCATTCGCCTCCACTCGCCCCTCGATCGCCTTCGTTCGCCTCACACTCACCTTCGCTCGCCAAACAAAAGCAAAACAACAAATATAAAAATGAATAGCGCCGTAGGAAGCATTTACTTCAATTTCCATCATAATTGCAGTTTCCATCGTCAATCTAAAATGTCCGCTGCGGGGGCAGAGTCTGATAATGAGCCACACGTGATCGAACCGGCCCCGGATTCTGGGGGTCAAGATTCTGGGACCCAAGATTCAGGGACCCAAGGTTCTGGAGCTCAGGGTTCCCGCCGTGCATCTAAATATTTCAAAGTTATTAAAAACAGTTAGGCTGATAAAGAAACAACCATTCCAGGCATAATCACTAACAACAAGACCACTTTGACCAACCTGGTAATTTCACTTGTACTGCTTGGGCTTCAATTTCTACTGCGTGCCAAAGTTTTTGACTGCCCCTTAGAGAATCATCAGATATATGGCCGCTTCTGGTTGTACGGTCCAGCCACCATTATTTTCTTCCTCAACTTGTTAATCATCGGAGACATCTGGGAACTTTCCGACAGGTGTCTTGTGGCGGATTATTATCATTTTAGCTACTTCTGCGGGCGCACCTTCCCCAGCATAGTGAAGGCGCTAGTGAGGGCGTCTGTATGGTTGTGCGTGGCGTTCTTGCGAAAAGATTACTACGTTTGCGGCGAGGTAGGACTGGATATCCGCAAGAGAAACGTAACTTATCCAGACGAGCTCAAAAAGTACTCATTTGGCAGTAGAGACCGCTGGGGCCCAATCACCAATTTTCGCTTAGGTAGTTTACCTGGTCATGGTTTTCCTCGCTACTGTGGTGATTATCAATAGGAATTGCATGCTCAAAGACCAAGATATCCTAGACGGTAACGCAAAATATTTGTTGTGTATTATTAACCCGTACTTATCAGTCTAACAATAATTGAAGCAGCGCCAATAAGTTTAGCGAAACTCTGAGCAAGAGAAGACGTTTGTTGACCGAAGACGAGAAGCGTATATAAAACGAACGAGCAGGCAAAAAAAGGGGAACAAAGGTGCCGCGCTAATTATGCGCCAAACGTGTGACAATGAGGCTAACTAAACAGCAGCGTGCATACGAGGCAGAAAAATGAAGCAGACTAAACGACAGCGTGCACGCCATGCGAGCTAATGGCGGGAACTAAACAACAATGCGAAATATGGCGCGGGCTGATTTCTACAAGAGTCATGGTGCATATCACTGAAACGGGCACTATGATTTGCGACGAGGCACTTGTACTATTCGACAAAACTGCATGAGTATATGTGAGATTACGAAAAGTATGGAACGTATTAAACTGAGACATTTTCTTTTTCATTTCGATATACTTCTTTAGAGTAATGCGTGAGTCAGACCATGTGATGAACTTGATCACATACAATGATCGATAACCATAGTCACGTGACGGTGGTCAAGGGTGTGCTAACCAATAGAACACAGCTGAGGTAATTATCCAAATAGGAACAAACATTACAGTTTATCTGCATTTTTTCGCTTTTTGCTGATATCTTAAGTTTGAAGACCGTCTCTTAAAGACTTTTCAGATATACCTTGGCTTCTGTTTTGTTTTTGTTTTTATTTGTTGTTGTTGTGGATATCTTTTTATTGTAAGTGTCAGCGGTTGATATACATTCTACCGAAACTATTGGTATCTTTCTAAGTGCGTTTATGATTATTATTTTCTAGACATATGCATCTTTGAAGAACGAGAGGCCAAATGGGCCAAGAAAATTTTTACTAAGTTCACTTAGGGTTTTCGCCCTGAAAAAGATCCCAAGGAAAAGAGCACGAAAGACGACAAAAGCAAAAGCAGAAACGACGACGACCAAGAGGTCAGCGATGCTAATGACAAGAGCGAAGAGGATGAACAGGAAGAAACTGTTGACCAGGAAAAAGACAAAGAGAAAGAGGTGAAGCTTACATTCTATGACAATGGAATTCCGGAGAAATGTGCCGAAAAAATGGTCGCTGAGATGTTCAAAGACTGGATGGAACAAAAACCAAACTGGCATTACCGTGATGCTTACGACAATTTCGTTAAGCTCTATCCCAGGGCTGCCACTGGCAATAATGGAAAAAGGTGGAGCACGACACATTTATCCGCGCGATTTGCGAAAGGAAGCAATGAAAATTCCAGGTTGCCTTTCCATGGGATCCACCGTT